GCAAGGGCTTCTACTCTTTTTTCCTAACAGAAAAAGTATTTAGTAGCTTTTTCTTTTTAATTGTCTCAGCGGAAACTTTATAATATTCAGGAAGTAAAGGCTTTTCCATTTTTGAGAATAATTTAGTTGAGAAAAAAATTTATCACTTTTCTACATGCACTAAAATTGCTGCAAGACCAATAGAGTTCTTGCCTTTGCCATCAGCTACCTCTGTGCCTTCTTTCCAGGCCACGCCTAACATTTCCAGTGCTAACTTGTTGACCACTTCATTTGGTGTTAAGAAACTGCCTTTTTCTAATTGGGTTTGAATAAGAAGTATCCATGTTTCTGAAAGTAATCAAGGCCTTCTAGTGCAGCTGTAAGTAGGAAAAGTGGGTCCTTCTCAGGTTGCCTTCACTCTGTCAGACAGATACACTGCTTTGAAAGGTGAGTAGATGGAGATATTTGCCTTCCAGTTCAGAGCTCTCTGCTGTGGATTACGTGTTGGCTAGTGTTACATGGCTCTTTCCTCAGACAGCGGGAATGCTGAGTCTATGTGGGGCTGCCATGAGACTCACCATGCCCCTGTCAGTGCGTGTTTACTCAACGTTAGTCTGTGATCTAGACTGTTTCCTACTGCACATTAGTCAGCTTCCTGCAAGTCTCTGCTTCGGGTAAGAAGCGTTCTGACTGTTTATCATTCTTTTCCCAGAGACAAATGAACGGTGATACTCACCGCCTGTACTTGGAGCTGCAGGTCATTTTTCTCCTGCAACAGGGCCACCATTTTCTCCTCCAGCTCCTTCCTCTTTGCCTCGGACTTTGCAAGCTCTTCCTTGGTTTTCTCAAATTCTTCCTTCATGTTGGCCATCTCCTTCTCTGATTCTGCACTCTTCAGCAAGGGCTTGATCTTGAAGAATAGCTTCATCCAGGGCCAGTGCTTGACATTCATGAATGCACGAACATTGTACTGGATACAGAAGATGGATTCCCTGAAATGAAATTTACATGGCTATTTCATAGCTTCAGTATGATGAATTTAAACTTCATTAGTCAAGTACCATGAGAACAAACTAAATATGAGAAATGTCTACCTCCTCTCCACCATTCTTTGATACTCCACTCTCATCAGGAAGCCCCTGCACCTGGCTTGTGTGCGAGTGATGATTTCTGCCAGCTTGTCATCTCTCATCTCCTCCAGGAGTCCCAACAGCCCAGCTTTGAAGAACACCTTGAGAAAGTAATTTTGCAGCATGTTACTGTGAAGTAGTACAGAATAGAGGCAGAGAGTCATTCAGGATCCTGAAGTAGATCTTCACGGCCATGACCAGCCTCACCTTGGGCCCCCTCCCAAACCCTCTGCCCAAGGGCCTATGAGCTTCCTATAAGCTCAGCCCTAAGCATTCAGTCCTTGTCTGAGCTATATGGTATGAGTTATGGTTTCCTGTTCAGCCACAGCCTCAGCCACACCTGGTTGTGGTGCCTGGTCATGGACCCCAGTGAGCTCTACCATGACCTGTGGACTTACTTCCTGGCTTGATATTAGATCAATTTCATTGCTGTGGATCTGTCCAGGAATTAATGAGTAGTGCCTGGGCCTTGTTAACCTACCTATATCTGGCCCTGACCAATCTCAAAAACCAAGGCTTTATGGCTTCACCTCAGACCTTCCTTATTGTCACAAACCTGCCTGGTGGTCTGGACTCTTGGTTGAACCTGACTACCATTCCAGGGTCTTCCCCACTTGCCTTGCTTGGGTACTATGGGGCTGGGCACTTGCTGACTGAGGCCTCTACCCTGCCAGCTCTGTTACTGTGCTCCCTGCCCCTGATGGAGCAGCCCCCCCTTACCTCTCCCTGACAAACTTTTAACACAGGTCTTGTTTCTACCTTGGTGTGACCAAATCTGTATTGGGTGTGGTCCACATCAATGGACCCAAGGAGCTTTTCTGAAGCCTTCTTGCTGTCCATGAACTGTCCCTCTGGGATAGCACTTGCATTAAGCACTCTGTATCTGCAGAAGAAAACAGAACATGAAGAAATCCCCATCACCGAAACCACCACTGTGATTGAACCCCACAGCCTTCTCAGACTGTCTCATTGAACTAGTCTTATGCCTGGAGACAGTTCATCCTTTCAGAACAGGATATGGAGAGTGTTTTTACTACTAAGTCTAAGTGCAAGAGAATCCTGATCTCAGCAATGTCATATCATCATGAACTGATGGTGAAACATTTTTATATTACTGTTCAGTACCAATTTAAAGTATAATGTTTCAAGTATATTACAATACTCAGGCTCTTCAGCTCAGTCTGAATGGGGAGAAAGGAGGAGCACTCTTACCTTTGTTTGAAGTCAGCATACAGGACTCTGCTGGGGAATCCTTTCCTGCAAATTCTGATCCCTTCCAGCACACCATTGCACCGCAGCTGATGCAGCACCAGCTCATGCTCCATGGCACCTAACAAACACCACCATTAGTGACTACCCCACTGTTTGACACTCAGGAGAAGAGCTTCTACTGCTCAAGGTTTCCTCCTATTGGATTCCCTTACCAGGTGTTTTTGTTTCATTTGGGATGATGCATCGTACAAAATGCGGATGAGTGCTTCTCAGGTTAGCCATCAGCTTGTTTAAATTCTCCTGTGAGATCATAAAATGAAGTTTATACTATTAAGTGTAAGCACTGGAAGCTTAATAGTGGATGTATCAAACTGAGTGTTTCAGGATGCAGACTTGTCTTCTCTAAAACATTCTGCAGAACTCCCAAAGGGAAACTTGGAAACTGAAGACTCCCAGATTTTTGGGTTTGAAATTCTTTTGTAGAATAATGGTTAGTATTACTTTTCCTTGATCTCCTTATACAAATACAGAGCTGCCATCTCACAGCTTTCCTTCCAGCTGGTATGTCTTGTTGTATTTAGTTGGGCATTTTAAGTGGATGACATGTAGTCTTGGCTAAGTGTGGCTAGCATTTGATTTGGCAGGTAAATAAGTTCTTTTTAAATGGATGGAATATTTGTACAGCCCATATAAATTTACTTTTTTAGTAGTAATTCAATCTCTCTAAATATTTCCACCTCAGCCAAATGGAAACCTTGAAAACATAACTGAAAACTGATCTAAAAATTCATTAACTTGACATAATTTAACATTCACTCTCTTTCCCCATTGAAATGAAAACATTGCCTTACAATCTTACAATCTCAAGGCAATTTTTTTGGTTTTGATGTTTGATCTATTATTTTCAGATTCTACAATGTGTCAATACTGAAAATCTTCATAAACAGGTAAAACAGGTACGGGAAATATCTCTGAAGTCTCCAGAGAAGGTTTTAATGAAGTTCAGCTGATTTATTATTCACTTCCAGTCTAAGTAAGTGAACTTCACCCTTTGGAGATTTTTGTAGAATATTCAGAGAAGGCAACAGCAAAATTAACACAGGAAGAAATCAGCCAAAATATAAGGATGCAATATCAATAGTTAGTTGGAAAAAAAAGTCTAAGATAATTGCCTAGGGAGTTCCAGGAGGCTGGCAATATCATTCTGTCTCCTGAAATAAAAGGAAGGCCATGCATGCATTGAGGTAGAGATTCTGTGGTATTCTAAGGGGGTAATTCTGTAATTTCCAAGGGTGGCAAGAGAAGGATTTAGAAGGATGACAAGAGCTATGACCAAAACTGAAACAGACTTTTCAGATTCAGAATAAAATTACTTTCCATCTTCAAAGAGATAATGAATTCTGCCCTTACCCGGAAAAGAGCTGAGACAGTCTGGAAAGAAGAACCCTTCTTCTTGCCACCCTTCTTGCCACCACCAGCCTCTGCAAAATTGAAGAAAATGAGCAGATGTCTTTATCATTGCCTTTGAGATTCCCCTTTGTACGGTATAAACACATGGAACACATTTTACAGAGCTTACCTGCTTCCCCACCATAGGTGGCAAAGAGTAAAGCCAGTGTCTTCACGGATGATTTCTGGTACAACCCAATGACAGTTTCGTTCAAGGGGTCCTTGTTCTTCTCAAGCCAGCCAGAGATGTTGTAGTCCACGGTGCCAGCATAGTGCACCAGGGAGAAGTGAGCCTCAGCTTTGCCTTTGCCAGGCTTGGGCTTCTGGAAGTTGCTGGACTTTCCCAGATGCTGGTCATAGAGCTTGTTCTTGAAAGAGGTGTCAGTTGCCTTGGGGAACATGCACTCCTCTTCCAGGATGGAGAAGATGCCCATGGGCTGGAAGGTACCATAAAAGTGACAGAGAAAGATGCTAATGATGTGAAGCATGTGCTACGGATGGTTCCAGTGGTACCAGTGTGTTGCTGGTAGCATCTCAGCCTGGATAAGGCTCTAAGTTTGTCAGGAGTTGTTTTCAGCTACGGAGCTTATTTTTGCTTTCCTGCAGCCTGTCTTCATGGAACTGGTAAGAACGTCTATCCGGTTCAGGTTAGAATTGGGAGTAGAATTGGAGGGAGACGTGGTAAACAGAAAAATAATTGGGCAATTAGGTACAAGAGACCTAGTTGTTTTGGGAAGTCAGGTGAGATGATATTTACTTCCCAAATTTGTGTGTGGAGTTCTGATTTGAGTCTTCATAGAAAAAAGGAAAGGAGACTGACTCCAGTTTGTTTTAAAGAAATCTGTTGGTGGGCGACCAGGCTACCTTCCCCATGCTTGAAGACCAGATAATGCAGGACTGATGACACAGATTTGCTTTTCCTAATTTCTCTTCCCCATACTAAAATAAATTTCAGTGCAAAATACTGTGTTTAACTGACACTGAATGCCTGGCCATGAGTTCTTTCTGAGCTGAATCTGGCTCAGAAATGTCACAGAATTCCAAAATACATCGCACACATTTATGTAAAAGGTACCTTCTCAATGAGCTCAATGCAAGCAGCCAGGTCCATCCCAAAGTCAATGAACTCCCATTCAATTCCTTCCTTCTTGTACTCCTCCTGCTCCAGCACGAACATGTGGTGATTGAAGAACTGTTGCAGTTTCTCATTGGTGAAGTTGATGCACAGCTGCTCAAAGCTGTTGAACTGCCCAAAGCAAGGAGGGAGAGGCGCACAGGTTCTCAAGGTGTGGCAAAAACCACAGGTTTTTTCTAGCATTCTCTTAATGCTGTTTGAACTTCCCCAGCTGAAACACCACTCCTAACTGTACTGTAACAGTGTGTGTTTCTTTAGCAGGACTTCTATTGTAAAATTTACTGTCCTCGAAGAATTTTATTATTATTTTTTAAATCAAGCTAAAAGTAACAGTTCTTTTTTACTGTGCTACTCAAAAGTAAATACTTCAGTAACCTTAGCTGAAGCATTGTGTAGGTGTCTCAGCTCTCTGACCTCCCAGGGAGTGGAAACTTCCTCAGTGTCCCACCCAAGAATTCCTCTGCCCTCAGGTCAACAATCCGGGGGTTTCTCTGCTCTGGCACAGAAGTCCTAGCATCATCACTGCATTCACAACAGAGGAAACATGCTGTGAACTTTCCCATAGCACTACCCTTTCCTTGGCTCTTCCAAGAGCATCCACACTTTTGGCCGACATCTGTGTGATCCTTATTCCTAGAGCTGTCTCTTTGTTTGCAAAGCCTAAGACCTTTGCAAGCTCAAGGGCCTCTGAGACAATTTGTCAGAAAGCAGAGCTTTCTTCTACCTGTTGAAAATGTTAGAATCAAAGTGTTTGTTAGTAAAGCCATTTGAGGGTGCTACTGGACAGAGAAGAGGTGTTCCTAGAAAACTGCAGATGAGAAGGGTAAACTTCTGAATCTTCATAAAAAGTGTGTTTCTGAGTCCTCATGACCCCTCCCTGACCCTCCCTTGACTATGGTGCCAAATTCTTGTTCCGTACATCAAAGATCTCAAAGCCAGCAATGTCCAGGACACCAATGAAGTACTGTCGGGGTTGCTTGGTATCCAGCTGTTGGTTGATGCGAACAACCATCCACAAGAACATCTTTTCATAGACAGCTTTTGCCAGGGCACCAACTGCATTGTTCACCTAAAGCAGAGAAGAAAGGACTGGAGTTACCTCCTAGGGTCAGAGAAGAATCCTCAAGTAGACTTTCAAGCCATTTTCAAACTACCTCCTATTTACCTGTTCCACAGTTTGACCTTTGGTCACATATTCATTCCCAACCTTGACTCGGGGATAACACAGGGCTTTGAGCAATTCAGCTGAGTTCAGACCCATCAGGTAGGCAGCCTTGTCAGCCACTAAAGAGCGCGGCGGAGAGAGAGAAGCATTTATCTTTGGACAATGGCTAAAATTTGGTCAATGTGAACAACTCTGCTGTTCATCTTCTAGAAATGGAAAAGCATTGGTCTGGTCTCATAGAGAAGGTCTGGGAAGGAGTGTAAATTCTGGAAGCTAATGATGGCCTTCTTTGAAAACAAGAACAGGAATGGTTTGGCTAGGAATAGCTTGAATCTGCAAGTTCCCAGAAGAACCCCAAAAGCCTCTGGGAATACATGAGGCATGCATGTAGCACATTCCTTTTCTGTGGAAAGTGGATTTCTGCATAGCAAAGAATGCAGGATTTAATTCACCAAGAATATTATTGCACATCATGGTGACTTAGCGGTTGAAGATTTTAGAGAGAGAGAGATATCCTGTGTTGAAGTTCCCCCTTTCAGGCTGTGTGTGTTTGGGGAGTATGCATTGGATAAAATAATGGTATTTCCCGTGATCAGGGAAGCACCTCTGCAGTTAGAAAATGAAAAAAGATGCTTTTCCTCCGTGTTTTATGTGGTGACTCAGGCCAACAAAGGCCTGTCTTTGGAGGCTAACATATCATCTCTGCAAACAGGGAAGTTCTTTGAAAAAGTCCGTTGCTGAATTTGCTGATACCTTCTGTGCCATCTGGCTCTGCCTGCTCCTCTCGTTGTTTCTGCTTGAACTTCAAGTTCCCCATAGGGAATGACAGCCCCTGTCAGCTTGTAGATGGCAGTCTTTTCATCAGCAGTGAAGCCCAGGATGTCAATGGCACTCTGCAGTCGAAACAATGAATTAAAATAGGTGTCCTTAGTAGGCCACATACATCACCTTCGAGACATGTACAGTAGGTAACTTTTTGCTGTTACTTACATCTGTAGCCATGAGCTCTTCCTGGTCATCAATACTGGGAACAGTGACCTCACCTTGACTCACATTTTGCTGTTACTTACATGTGTAGCCATGAGCTCTTCCTGGTCATCAATACTGGGAACAGTGACCTCACCTTGACTCACATAGTGGAAATCATAAGGGTTGGTGGTAATGAGGAGCATGTCTGAAAGCAGGAAGAGGCAAGGCACAGGCTTAGTTTTGCCAATCAGGTAATAGAGGGACCTGTTGCTCAAAAAGACGTAATGATCCTTCCTACCAATTAGCTCTGG